TGCCCCCCGACCCCGGGACCCCAAGAAGGGAGGACACCATTGACCTCTTTTACCAGCAAAAAAAAAAAAAAAAAAATTTAATAAAATACAAGCGCGCACACACACATAATGCATGTGTTCTGTGTCAATGGAGATTCTAAAATTCCTGGTTTACCGAGGACTGGGGATATAAAGCACTGTATGGAGAATGGGTTTCTAACACGGAGATACTGAAATACAGTGGAACCTCAAGATACGGGCGTCCCGACATACGAGTATTTCGAGATACGAGCAAGCCTTCAACCAAATTTTGCGTCAAGATACAAGTAAAGATTTGAGATACGCTCGTATCTCAAATCTTTACTTGTATCTACGCTTACAGAGCAGCCCACGCCGCCTCACTTGTTCACTTCACGTTTGTCAACTTGTGCTTTATTCTTCATGATAGTGATGAGTCCTAAGAGAGTGAGTGGTAAGGATGGTAGAAGAAGAAGAAACGCATGATGACCATCGAAACAAAGCAGGAAATCGTCGATAAACAAGAGCGTGAAAAAAAGCAAAAAAATGAAACGTATGCTAAGTTTAGTTAATTCTAAGTTTATGTAAGTTACGTAGTGTACGTGTAAGGTACGGTACAGAATCAAGTGTCTACGTCTCTTCCCTCCCTTCCTCCCTCCTCATCTGCATATGCCGCCATTAGCTGCTATTGTATCGTCTGTCTCGACATAAGAACGTAAGAACGACGTAAGAACGTAAGAACTCACAATTAAAACCACATTTTATTTTATAGCACAGGAATCCTTATATACTATCATTTTGTGTGTATGTTACTATATCAATTAAAAACATGTTTTTTTTTTCCATTGTTATTAGCACTAATAAGGGAGTTTTTTAGAGGGACGGAACGGATCCATTTGTTTTCTGTTATTTCTTATGGGAAAATGTGATTCGAGATCCCTTTCTTATGGGAAAACGTGATTCGAGATCCCAGCACCTTGAGTTACGAGCTCGGTCCTGGAACGGATTACGCTGGTATCTCGAGGTTCCACTGTATCACACTAGAATACTGCAGACTTTATCAAGCGGCAAGGAATCGACAACTAATTTTGACGTGATTTAAAATAGCTTATTTTCACCATTACATTTAGTAAAAAGGAGTAAAACATTTTGTTTGTGGCCATGAAGTGATACAGCTTTAATCAAGAATCGGTTTTGTTAAAAGCATATTTGTTCTGCAGTCAAATAGCTACAGCTTGAAAACGGTGCAAGTCTGAGTACAGGTGACAAGTGACAGAGCAGGAAACCGACTGACTTTGTTGCTCTTGTTTTTAATCATAGAAAACCACTGAGAGACATTTAAATCCCACAGAGCAAACTCCTCTCTGACAAAGTTGGCACTGATTTCGCAGACGCCGACAGCTTCCAACTTGCCCTCGCATTAGCAGCTGTTGATTCCACTGCCAGCACAAGAATCTACTGCAGTGAAGTCTGGGCTGTGACAGAACAAGGAATAGCCTCAGGCAGACCGACTGAGTGACACACAGGAGAGGGGAGAGGGAGGCAGCCAGCGAAGCGTGCACTGACTCAGCAGTCGACCAGACAATGGTGCTGCTCCAACGTGGTGATCCAGGAGACAACCGTTGTGACTGATAGCGTTTGTAGATCTGCTGTAGAAACCTGACTGGGGAGAATGGGGGGCGGACCGTTGTGACTGATAGCGTTTGTAGATGTGCTGTAGAAACCTGACTGGGAGGGGGGAGGGGGGTTGGAGACAGAGGCGTCTTTGATGTGGCTTACTGAGTATATGGCTGTGAGCTAAAGTGAAGGCCTGGTGCGTATGAGTAGGTACAAGACATCCTGGTTCTACTGCAGAGGCTAGAGGAAGGAAAGGAAGCACCACACCTCTGTGGTGGAACCGTTCTCACAGTCATAAAGCTCTGACTTCTTTTCTGATTTGACTAACTGTAAAAATCTAAGAGTCTTCAACAGAAAAGTGAAACTGTACATATACAAATAAAGGAGCATTTGCTTTTTGAAAGTCAGTTCCTCAGTGGTAAACAGACACCTGTTCTTTCATTAATGATGGTATCTCCAATGGTTGTGGATTGTCGCCAAAATACAAATATTGAGCAAATATAGTCCTAGCAGAGTCTCCATATGGAAAACGTACCTCTTTTTTTTACATTCCAAACAATTTGTCTGGACCTTTATGTTGACAGCAGGACAGCAGCTGAAAAGCTATGGTGCTTCTGCTTGTGCACCTGTAAAATGTTGAAGAATTTAAAAAATAATGGGTGAAAAACATCCTCTGTGAGAAAAAAAATGCCTCTATCTGCAAATAAAAGAAACCGCAGGACAAAGACTGCAGCACTTTTTCTCAGGTTAGTCACGTCCTATCTGTATCAGAGAGACATCTGTGTCATCAGATAAGTGGGTTGGTTTTTTTTTCTTCTGCAGCCTTCCTTAAAGATGAACCAAACAAAGCAGCTACCCCAAACTAAGCCTTGTAAGATGAGTGTGCATGTCTAGTTTTTTATTCTAAACACGAAGCCCATTTTTGGGCTTTTTAATCTGTCCATCCAACCAAGCAAGATAAACGAAAATAGCAGCAGACCTGGCCTCTACCTGGCCATAGTGACTTTTGAATATGTTTCCTACAGTTATTGTTGTTATGCAACTAAAGGCTCTCTCTTTGTGCAGAAGCCACTAGAGCGTCTGGATGAATATGGCAAACAGGAAGGAGAGCAGCCAGCGAAGGTCAAATGCATGCGTGCGGGGAAGAAGGGGAAGAAAAAAAACGTGTTTGCTTCCTCTGGATGTTTTTACAAAGTTTCATAAAGACATTTTGGCAAAAATAACCACTGAAAGAGTAAATAAAATAAATAATAGATGATACTATAATGATGATGCATGGATCCTTCAAAGGTTACAACATGCTAATATTTGATGTCCGTCCAAATTAAATATTGCGCTGTCCGAGGGAAAAACTCATCTTCTGCCATTTTCTCCCACATGGTCATTTCCCTTTTCCTCAACTTGCAGGGACCGAAAACAAAGCAACACAAGCAGCAACAGGCAGGTGTTGTGTAACTTTGTCTTCAGTTGCTTTCAACTATAGATCCGGCATATTATATGATGAATTAACCGTTGCACTCAATACTCAATTTAATTGTATCATCCAGTAATCCTGTCATCCCTACTCAAAAAGCATCATCACTGAGCAATGATGAACACATCTTTTTAAGCTAACATTGTACGTATGCATATAAAAGTTAGCTTAAAGTTATATGTATCATGTCAATGTATCTCAAACTCAAAACAGACATCTATAATAATGTATGTGGTGTGACTTATAATAGATGTATTATTGGCTAATTTATTGGCTAACCTTGAGCTAATACATTTTAGCTTATGTCTCTAATTTCAGAACTTGTGGATATTTTAGTGTTACTCTTACATATAAGTTGGATATTTGCAATGTAATTTTAAAAATAATTTTAATAAACTGATGATCTGTCTCAGGATAAAAACGTTTCAATTTTAGTTTCTGTCTAAAGCCAAGTGCTCAGACGAATCCCTGACTAGTGTGGCATGTAACCATGAGTAACCAACAGTTACAGCCCATTACATCAGCACTGGGAAAGAAGAGACTAATCTGGGAAGCAGGCTAACAACTCTTCAGAAGCTGACTGAAAAAGAATTCCAAAACCACCAAGCGTGGACATAAAAATACTCTTCTTATAGTGACAGTGGTTGTCTGGTCTCTGTCAGGAGTATGAATAGGAGGAAAGAAGTCAGTTTAGATTATTGGAATTGATGGACATTCCTCACA